TGTGTTCTTTAATATTCAAGTGTATAGTTTATATTCTACCTTTGAAACAAAATAAATATATAAAAGGAATATGGAGTTGACAGCAGAAACAATAATGGTTGGGATCTCACATTCAAGCTTTATAGTTTATATGTGATATTTTTGTAGTCTTTATTTGGTTTGTGTATATAGTTCACCTATCCATAGTAAAAGTATATTTTTTTTTGAAACTTTTTGTTTTACATATTTCAAGGTACGATTTAACCTAAAAACTTAATTTTTTCAGTAGTTTGTATCTTAGATTAAAAAATAACATAGAAAATAATATTATACTTTTATAACATAAGTATATCTTTCAATCATCAATTTATATTTATAACATTTATAATTAATGCGATTAGTATATAATATTTATTATTATTATTATTGATGTTTTGTTTAATTCTGTCGAAAATAACCATAACCTGAATTACCGACAAGGTATCGGGTATGAAAATTTGGGTATTTGTTTCACAACCAACATGTAATTAGTTTGGGTATCGGATAAACGTAAAAAAGTTTGGGCATACCCAAATTTCTGATTTTAAAAAATAATAATAATAATACACTGGCTGTGAAACAAATATCAAATATCAAAGTCTACTTAAACCAAAATCATATGTGGCTGTAATAATATATAATGTTATAGTAAACATGGCCTAAGTATTCAGGTAAAGAAACAAACCGGAATACTGGATGTGTCTTATTAAAGAAGATATGATTCTGTAGAGATATAAATCCAACACCCAATGTAATAGAATTCAAAATTATTTATTTAAAGAAAAACCTAATTTGCATACAATTTCTGCTGCATGGTTAAAAATGTTACGTGAAGTTTGTAGAAGGATAAAATCATTGTCACCCTATCTATTTCCATACCTATGAAACTGTAAGAAAGATAAAAAAAAAGTCGCATATAATCAATTTGGTTATTAGGTATTTTTTTATTACACAATACCCGGCAACATAATCACTACTATGAAACCATAATCACTACTATGAAACCATCAAACATAAATTAGTCATGACTAGTAGCTTACCCGCGCGATGCGGCGGCGGCGATTTGTTTCATTCGAGCGATTAGTTTCCAAACTAAAGTTAGTGTCATTTCGGTGGTCGTCAAATTCTTTTGTTTCGATTTGTTTCATTCTGGCGATTTGTTCCTTTCGACGATCAGTTGTCTTTAGACGGGCAACAAATAGTAATTTTCGTCTATTACTCTTTATCAAACAGCGGACAACGATTAGTTTCATTTTTTTAGATGATGATAAATTTCCATTTTGAATTGACAAGGTAAAAATTTGTTATATTAATTACAAAAATATTGAACTACGTTTAAAATAAAAATGTTAACTTTTTTGCGAGACTATACATTACATGAACATGTAAAAAGTTAAGTATTATATTATAGATCGTTTTTTCTTCTTTTTGTCATTCTTTTGCGTTTTGTTTCCGGTATTGTAAAATTCATTTCTTTTATATTTGCATTAATAAGACTTATTATAATTATTTATATAAATATTTAAATAAAAGTGTATGTATAAATAATATATTTATAATAATTCATATTGCACTAAAACAATTAAACTCAATAAAGGACTACTAATAATTCATATTTATAATAATTCATATTTATAACTAAACTAATAATTTGATTTTTAAAGGAAAACTCTCCTAATAATAGATAAAATCAAACTTGGTTTTATCATTATTAAAAATCAAATATATTTAAATTTGAGTTACATCAAAAAGAATAAATATAAAAAAATTACAATTTAATTTCCAAGAACATCATCCAACTTTATAATAAAACTCAAACCATTTCATTTCTACTTTGATGTTATTTATCTATGAATTCTAATGTATCGGAAGATCTTAATAAATAACACATTATATTTAAAAGTTTAAATTCATATTTAAATTTGAAATCAACACAACCCTTCCTTATACAACTCATACCTATAGGTAGTTATCCATAAATCACTCACTTCATTCATTATTACATTTAACTTTATTAAGATTATATAATTTTTAATTCTTTATCGCTTTTATATTAACTAACATTTTTCAAATATTTAGACCATTCAAATTACGTATATTTAACATGTTGATGTGCGATAAATTGAAAAGTTACTTAAGACACATAATTATAAGATTTAAATAATTCATTAATTTTTATAATACTTCGTTCTTTAATATTACATATTTTTGTTAAATTTTAAACTCATCTAACTAATTTTTTTTCCAACGGTGGTTTAGTGAAGCAGGTAGTGACATCCGATATAGTTTAAACATTTTCAAAAGATTTGTTATTAAATATAATTTATAAAAGATAATAAAATTTTGAAAATATGAATTAAAGTAATATATATAAGAAAACATATGAAACCAAAGTTTGAACAATCCTCTCTAATAAATAAAGAACTTTTTGTCACATGTCATCTTCTCCTTCATTTGAACACAAGACATTTTCTATTTTTCGAATTTTCTATTTTTCCACTTGTCATTTTATTTTATTTTTTATTTTATTAAATTAAAATTCCACATTTAATATGTATGGTAATATACATGTAAGGTATTTATTAGAAAGGGTTTATATATATGATATATTCAATACATTAAAGTCTCATTAATCTTAATAATTCAAAAAAATTCTTATTTTTCCTATAAATTCAAACTTTTCAATTTGTTAAAATTTCATATTTAATTTTTTTAAAATAAACTCATGTAATACATTAGTTTCACACCTACTAAATTATATTTAAGAATTTGATAAAATGGAAAATAAGTTAAAACGAAAGTTACTAAAACAATCAACAGAACTTTAAATGTTGTGGTGAACAGGTGATGACAACAGGATGTATTTAATATATACGAATATTTATAGTTATTATTTATAGTCTTAAATTTAAAATATATTTAATAAAATAGTGACCATTGTGAAATAGAGCATGGTGATAGATTCTAGTTTCAAATAAAACTAAAATTAAATAAAAAAAGATGGTATTGTAGACACTCCACTCTATACCTAGTCTAACATATATTTCAAAAAGTGTTTGTCTCTCTTACTTTTTTATTACTCTCTCTCTCTCTCTCTCTCTCTATATATATATATATATATATATATATATATATATATATATATTGTAAAACTGAAAAAAATATAAATAGGTTGACGTATCCCTTTCTCTTTCATATATATAAAACCGAATAAAAAATGATTTTTATTTTTTTCTCTCTCATATATTTATATAATAAAAAAAATTAAATAATATGTTTTTGAAAATTAGGATAGTTTTTTTGAGCGACTTTAACTTTCTATTCTAGTATAAATTAATATAAGCCTTCTATATTAATTTTCTTTTGAGCAACTTTAACTTTTTTTTGTTAGTAAATTTTATAAAAAAACTTCTATCCTAATTGGTGACAAATAAGTTTTTGTAAAAAAAGATAAAAAGAAATAGCCTTCTATATTAAAACTGAGTGACTAATATATATAAGGCATTTATATTAATTGTTTTTTTTGAGATATATAATTTCATTTCAATATGTAGTAAAGGTAAAGATGTTTTTGCTTGAGTTAAAAAAATATATATTTAATGAACATAACCCCCACAAATTTATTCATTTTTTCTTGAGTTAAGAAATTTCAATTAAAAAAATGAAAATTATATTACAAAATATGTTTTATAATTTTGTTAAATTATTATATAATACTAAAATAAAAAAAAGCTACCGATATAACAATATCTAAGATGGATGATTGGGTTGCTTTAAAACTTTTACAAATAAGTTTTTGGAAAAAAGATAAGTAAGAAAATAGGGAAATGAATAATTTTAATAAAGGTGCAAAAGCCCCACATATATAGGTGAGACGTGGCTGATGGAAAATGGCTGACACTATTTATTGGAGTTTGAGTTTTTTAGTTCTTGTAGTCTAAATTTAGACTGGAGTGAGTGTTAGTGTGGAGTGTAAAACTAAATTTAGACTGGAGTGAGAGTTATGATAACTAATCTTATCTGTGTTGTCCTTGATATAATATAGTGAAATCAATCTTATTTATAATTCTAAAAAAATTATTAAAGCCAACTATCAAATCAATAACAAAATACATATACAAATATATCATATATACGATTTCAAATATAATTTATAGTACTTTGTATTTGTCCATGATATATTATTTTAAGTCCCAAGACTTATATGAGAATTTCAAAATATATTTTTCATAAATAATTTCAAAGTTATTAAAAACATAAATCTAATGTTTTTATATTTAGATGTAAATGTTAATTCAAATAAAAATGATTAATACTATAATATAAATTTAAAATACTTTCTCTATTTTAGTGGAAAGTTGAATCGAAGTTTTTAATTCAACTACTACATTGGCAGCTTTTACCATTTGAATGGTCATAATCAAATCTCATTTGTCGCTTTTTTTCTTTAATGTTTTTTTGCTTCTATAGGAGATATATAGTTTTTCAATGTACAAAATCTTTTTACTTATCTGTCTTCTGTACTATCCCTATCAAGCTTTGGTTTGTTTAGGTAAGATTTGGTTTTACAAAAAATATGAAACTAATTAGCTATAAAATCGCACACTAACACCCAAAAACGGCTCGAAGCATACAAAGTAAAATTACAGAGGTAATTTTTTTGTAAATTATAAAAGAATTAAATCATTACTTTCGTTTCTGAGAGATTCAAAGAAAGTAAAATTAATGACTTTCAAATTATTTATTTTTTCTATTGTTTCCTAACTAAACTAAGACAATCCAAAACACTTCAAAAACATTTTAATTAAAACACTCAGTCATGCTCAATTTTACATATGAATCTATGAGATGCAATAGACTTTCATTGGAAAAGTATAGATGATCTCTCCACAAGAGGCAAAAAACTTCATGCTAAATTTTTTTCAATTCTTAGACATAAATTGCTTTTATACCGAGATGTAAAAAAACAAAATATCCATAAACCCCATACCCCAAAACAAACAATGACCAGACGTTGAAGATTCCTTTTTTATTCATGTACATATAGCTTTTTATTAATACATGAAAACAAAATATACAAAAAAAAAAAAAAAAAAAAATCAAGTCCAAGAACGGAAGGTGATGAAGTCAGCTAAATCTGAAAAACAAAAACATGAGCCCTGTTAGATACATGTATTAAACCCATGTACAAAGATGGAGATAGAAATAATGCAAAAATTGTTTAAATGCTTGAAAAATAGCAGAATCGAAGAAGAAACAAACATATTTATAAAGAATTCAAAGTTTTAAAAGTCATTGAGTTCATGTGCCTAATCTGCTTCTACTTTCATCCACATATTCCTTGCACTCTTCAATAAAATACAGAGACATGGGCAAGAGGGTTAGGTTAGAGTAGAAATCCATAAGAGAACAAGCAAAAAACATCCATAAAAAATCAATAAAATAAGGAACTTCTAACCAGGTAAGACAAACGTTAACCGGATCTAATAACCTTGCTTTTGTGTCATGATATAGGAAACTTGATGTATGTGTGTTGGTGCATAGATATGAGCAACTGCAACTGTGTTGGAGCAAGGCAGCGACTGTGGTACATGTAAGAACACAAATGAAGACAAATGAGTAAAAAATGAATCTGCAAGAACTTAAATACAACTTTTAGGAATCATACATGTAAGAACAAAAATGAGCATAAAAAAAAATTAAAATGTGAAATTAAATAGAAATCTAAACCTAACAGAACTGATAGAAACTAAATCGAACCCACTAACGTTAGGATGGATTTGTTTTTTAGTAGCAGTTCAACTTTTAGATCTAGGGTTTTGACAAGATCTATAGCGAAGAAGGGAGAGAAGCTCTCCGACGTGATAAAGGGAATGGAAGAGGTCATGGTGGTTCTTAATAGCAGTTTGCAGAGGAGCCGACATGTATCGATGTCGGCTGATGTTGCAGATTTTGAATGGGGAGAGACGATGGAGAGATGAAAAGAGCAAATATTGTGGGTGGATAGTGTAAGGGGTGTTGGTGTCGGCTGTTAGGTTTTGTTTCGAGAGTACTGGAAATAGAGATTTGTTTGACCAGGGGTTATAAGCAGAGATGTAGACGAACAACAATGGGGCGATCCGTGTGCTTTCATTTTACATCGTCGGATGGTTGTAGCAGATCAACGCCCAGTTGGCTATCCGTGTGATTTATTTCTTTGTAGATTTCACTCATTCAACATTCACGCATTCGAGCTGTACCTGTTTCTGATTGGTTTTGTTTTGATGACAAGGATTACAATATATTAAATCCTCACCGTTCATTTTGGATCCAAAGGTTCATAACTTATTTCCTTGAGTTTTAAGACAATTGTCTTAATTTGTAAAGGGCCCACATTTATAAACCCTTTATAAGATGGTATAGATAGAATGTTGCTGCAATTTTAAAATATTAAATCCTCTTGATGGAAGTGTTCAAAGCTTGAAGTTCAAACAGTGCTATAAATGAGTATGTTTTCATATGTTTATCAGTAGTTTGCATATAAAAACCATACATATATACGATGTCACAAACAAATACAAACACACATAAGTTTGTCACTTCAAACAGAAGAAAGAAGAAGATTATCATTTGAAACAAAAGTCAGAAGATGATTATCATTTCAAACAGAACACAGAAGAAGATTATACACACATCAAGTTATAACAGATAGAAGAAATACAAAGAACCTGAATTCGTGAAAGAAATGCAATGCAATGAAGTAATCTTCCTGTTCCAGATTCCTTGTTGGTGAATTGTGTTGTAAGAGTAAAAAACTAAGAACATCTATTAGATTTATAGGTGGAATAAAGTATTCTATGATATATACTGATACTCATTCCAAAATTAAGCAAATTGATACCATACCATAAATAATAACATCTACTCTAATAAATGAAGGTTTTTTGCCACATGTCCTCTTCTCCTTCATTTGGACACATAGCATTTTCTAAAATTTTTAAATTTTCTATTTTCCACTTGTCATTTTATTGTATTTTTCATTTTATTAAATTAAAATTCCACATTTAATATGTAAGGTAATGTATATGTAAGGTATTTATTAGAAAGGGTTTATATATGTAATGTATTCAATACATTAAAGTCTCATTAATTTTAATAATGCAAAAAATTTCTCATTTTTCTTATAAATTCAAACTTTTCAAATTGTTAAAATTTTATATTTAATTTTTTTTAAATAAACTCATGTAATACATGGGTCTCACACCTAGTTAACAAATATACTAAAAAAAAATTAAAAAAACAATATAATAACTGTCAAAAGTCATACCATAAATATTTTAAATCATACCAAAATTAATCGTATTATTATAATTATTTAATTTAGATAATATCATACTAAAAATATTAATATTAACAAATATACTAAAAAATGAAAAAAAAAATCAATATAGTAACTGTCAAAAGTCATACCAAAAATATTTTAAATCATACCAAAATTAATCATACTTTTAGCATATTTTCATTAAAATAATATCATACTATAAATAACACATATATCAGAAGTTGAAATTACTATCAAAATTAATCATATTATTAGCATATTTTTATTAAAATAATATCATACTAAAAAATAATCGAGCATTTGATCACGAATTTTTGGGTTTATGAAAACGATGTGGCGCGATTATTATTATTATTATTAATATTATTATTATTATTATTAAAACATATTGAAAAAAGATGAAGCTTGAAAAAGGTGTAATATGATAATATTTTGATAAAAGAAATTTTGGGAAATATTTTGCTAAAATCCTAAAATATATTTTTTTAACAAAAAAGTCTTTATTTTTATTTTAACAGAAAATGACAGATTATCGTCTAATGTTAAATAATCAGAACTTTTCTGTTCAAAAAAAAATAGAACTTTATCAAAATTTTCCCAAACACAATCTAAGGCTAAGTGAAAAATGTTTATTATGTGTTAATGGCAAAACTCCATGCTTACCCTTTTTTTTCCAATTTATAGACCACTTGATATCCGCGCATTTCAAATGGTACAAGCAATTTCTGCATAAAATATAAAGATTAAGTTAAAAATCTGACATTTAAATTTCAAAAGTGAAAAATGTTTATTATGTGTTAATGGCAAAATTCCATGCTTACCCTTTAAATTTCCAATTTATCCTTCTCAAGTAACTTCAAATCTGTCATAAAAAATCAGTTACAGTAAATAAAATTTGAACTTTGAAAGTTGAAAAATAGTGAAATTTGAAAATAAACAGGCTATTTACCAATTTGTGTTAAAGGTTGTGAATGCACTGCATTCGAGTCAAGATATGTGATTTCCACTTTTGCTTGACCAAGCATCTTCATATCAGACACACAGAAGTACTTAAACCTTTTGGGAAGAATTTTGGATTTTTATTATATAATATGGTCCATAAAGATGACATCCATGGATCTAAGGACCCTTCATATCTGCATAAGAAAATCATAGCAACTTTATTTAATTTACTTATTGTATATTATACAGAAAGATTATGCAACAAAGTTGTACAAATACTGGAAATAACAAAGATACCCTGAAGTGAATGAGAAGAAACAAGAATCGAATGAGAAGAAACAAACCTGTGCATCAATGGCTGTCAGAAAATTTACACTAATAAGAAAAGAAAAAAAAGACCAAGAAAAGGTCTAAAATACCCTCAATAGAATAATATAAAGTAATTACTTGGCCATATCCTCCAAAGGTGCAGGCCCAAGGTAATATTTATTCGATTCCTTGTCTGGAGTTGATGTGAAACTGTAACAAGTAAAATATAGTATCTGTTAGTTAAATGGAAGAGAAAAATAAATGAGGGCAAATTTGTAAAAATGGGGATTTCTGTAATAAGTCTTCTTTCTTGAAAATTTAATTTTATTCAAATGTCAAGATAAAATGGCTTACACAATAACTCCTGATAAAGTAGCCTCACTAATCTCTCCTTCCTGAATCAAGAGATAACAAAATGTCTGCTTTTAATTTTGTGTTTTGTAAAACAAAATAATCTGTTATATAATTGAAAAATGAACATATGTATCTCAGAAGTATATTCACCTTGAAAAAGTCTACAGTGGTCTTCTGATCATATTCGCACTCTCTGTTCTCTAAATACTGAAAGAAATAAGAACCAAGTAAGATAAGTTCTTCTGATATGACATGTGTCTCTAAGGAAAGATAAAAAAATAACTTTTTTTTATTTTGTTTCAAAAATGTAAAACATGTAATGGAATAAAAAATATACTGCCATTGCCAGTCTTTCTTTCTCCTCACCTTCTTTTACACTATACACAGCGCCCCACTGAAAGAAAGTTTAAGAATTAGCATTCAGAAGTTGAAAATCAGCTGAAAATGGTGGAAAGAGTTGAAATTTGGTGCCACTTACACAGACAGCTCCTTCTTTATATTCAAGTGTGCATGTTCTTGCAGGGTCCTCAGGTGTACCTCTATGATCAATGCATGCTGTGGCATAATAACATGATCTTAGTTAAAACCAGATTAAGATAGAAATGTATAAATATGAAAACAGGTAAAGTCTGCATACCAAGATCAAACACACGCCTGTAATTCTTGATGTACCCTATCATTTTATCATCATAATTAAACCTAGGGTTCCATACCAATGAACCATAGCCAAACACCCAGAAAACCATGATGAACTCCTCACAAATAACAAGCTGTTGATAGTTGAAACATTAGCAAGATGATACAAAGAAGAATTATGTAAGCACAGAACATGTGAGAAAGCAAAGAGTGACTAATAAAGAAGGCGATTGAACAAACCTGTAATGCAGGCTGAAACAGAATTAATCATTAGAGCAACGATGTTGACAGTTAACTGAAACTGAACAAACTTCTGAATGTTTATGTAAACTGCACGTCCCCATTTTGCTACTTTTACGATTGTTGCAAAATCATCGTCCAATACGATTACATTAGCTTGTTCTTTTGCAACCTACAGATGAGATAGCAGATGACTTATGACAGACATCAGCTTCTTCTTACTAATATATTATATATGGGATTGTTTTTTCATTAACTTAAGTTTTTTTATACTAAATTGACATGAATATGATGCACAAACCAACCTCTGTTCCTGCTATACCCATGGCGAACCCGATATCTGATTCATGTAAAGCTAGAGCATCATTTGTCCCATCACCTGTGACTGCAACAACTTCAGACAGACCCCTCAAATGCTCTACAAGCTTTAACTTGCCTGTTGGTGATGATCTAGCCATTACAATAATGTATTTAAGGATTGTAAGTCATTACTTGTCTTGGAGAACTAACCACCTATTCTCCTGAGTTTCAAAATAAAGGAAAAGAAAAAAAAATAGTTACATTTTGATCTAGCCATCACCACGTTTTTTTGTTTGTACCTGAATTCTCGGTGCTAGTTCACGTTTTTCCGCATCTGATTTAGCTCGAAACACTGGCCCTTTAATGGCTAACCTACCTTCAGTCAGTATACCGCATTCCTTGGCAATGACTCGAGCTGTGTTAATATTATCACCAGTAACCATACGCACAGTAATCCCAGCTGCTAAACAAATATCCACTGCTTCCTTAACCCCTGGCCTAAGCGGATCCTTAATACCAACAACCACAATCAACGTATACCCACAATCAGGCAACTCAAAAATCGGGGATTGAGAAAAAAGTTATGCATAGTAAAGACTGAATAGTATCTGAAAAAATCAAGAATTGGCTTATAATTACCTTCAAGTTCTTCAATGTGCTTGACAATTCGCGCTTAGCCATCGCTGATAATTTGAAATTAGTATTACCTGTTAGGTGTTCAGGGCATGATTGTGCTTGTATTTTCTGATCTTCGTCGACAGATGATGACGGTTACAGAGGATAAATGACTTGGGAAAAGAAATCGATGATCTTCACAGAGGATAAATGACTTGGGAAAAGAAATCGATGATGTTCATTTGAAGATGTCGATGGTGGTTTTGTACATTTTTGTGTGTGTGGTCGTGAGGTGCGTGAGTTTGTAATCACAGTAAACGGGGACATACCTCGCTGTAGGGATCTCGAATGCACGGTAATTTGAAATTAGGGTTTCCATTTCATTCTGATGGCGATCGCGAGAGAGAGAAAGAGAGGCGAGAGATATCACTGCATCTTGAGTGGGGAAGTCGGCAGTCGTGGACCTTCGGTGGGAGACGTTGGTGGAGATCACTGCATCTTTGGTGGAGACGATGAGAATTGGTTTGATGGCGGCTGTGTTTAGGAGATTAGGGTGTGTAGTGTAATATGTATATGATTGGTTATATGATCTGTGTAGTGTAATACGTATAAGATTGGTTATATGCTTAATATTATTGTACTTATATGCTTAATATTATTGTACATGAGGTAATATACGTTGTATCTTTTAATTTTCAAGAGATTGGCAATATCCTTAATAATATAGTAAAAATATATATATCTATATATATATATATATAAGAATTATCCTAAAATCCATATAAAATTTAATATTAATAATCTATATATTCAAATAAAAATATCAATATATTAATATGACCGGCTTTGACTAATATTAACCAGAACCAACTAGCCTGACCAATTGTCATTATACGTAATTAGTTAATGACTTCCATCTGATTAATCGGTCACCAAGGGTAAGGTGGGATGTAGATGTGGGTGTGTGTATGTGTATGGATAGGGTGGTAGGGGTAGTGTTGGGTAGGGTGTGTGGTGTGGGGGTGTGAGCTTAGTTGAAGGTGGAGTGGGGTAGGCGGTCAGGACCTTTGAAGTTTTTGTATGTAAAAATTGAAGTCCATAGAAAAAAGGAATAAGGAACCATACATGGGTGATATTGAATTAGGGAAGAACATGACTGGACATATAAAAATAAGCAATTGAAAGGAATGTTAGGATACTGTACAAATTGATGGTATCTAAAGGATCTCGATATTGGATAGGACCCGATTCCAAGGAACAAGCCTTAATCCATAAGTCGTGAGCAATAATCCTTTAGAATAAGCTAACATCCTTATGTCATAAGCTTTAAGTCATAAATCATAAGTCATGAGTTATAATTCATAAGGAATAAGCCATAAGCCTTAAGGCCTAAGCCCTAAATTAAGCATAAGTCATAAATCATAAGCCAAAATCCCTAAACCCTAACTACTAACCCTTAAGCCTATACCCTAGACATGTATCATAAGCTACAAGCCTTGAGCCTGAATCAGTAAGCCTTAAACCTAAATCCATAAACCCTAAGATATAAATCATAGGTTATAAGTCATAAGCCATGAGGCATAAAGCATATGTAAACCTAAAGCTATAAGCCCCAATCTATAACACTTTAAGCCGTAATCCCCAAGCCATAAGTTATAAGCCCTAATTTTAAGCCATTAGCCCTAACTTGTAAGCATAAGTCATAAGCCCTAAGTCATAAGTCATGATCCATAAGCCATAATTGGCCTAGGTCATATACACTAAGCCTTTGGCCCTATGCTTTATGTCATATGCCCTAAGCCTTAATCCCTAAGCCACATGCCCTACGCCATATTCCTTGCACCCTAAGACTTAAGCCCTAATCCATAAGGCTTGAGACTTAAGTAATTAGTCATCAACCATAAGAATTAAAGCTAAGGGTTATGGCTTAGAGCTTAATAAATAAGCAGTAATCCTTAAACAATAAACCATAAGAAAAAGCCCTAACACCTAAGTCCTACACCCTAGGCCATAAGTCATACACCCTAAGCCCTAAACCATAAGAATTAACCTATACGGAATACGCCATAAGCCATACAACAATAAGCAGTAAATTATAAGTCATATGCCTAAAGCCATAATCCCTAAGCCATAAGCCCTAAACCATAAGCCTTAACACATAGTCCATAAGCCATACACCCTAACCCCTAAAAGACAAGCCTAAAGCCTAAGTTATATGCCATAAGCCACAAACCTCACACTCACCCTATCCCCAACACCCACCCACAACCATAAATACTTTTATGATTCTAAAGTTTTATAAAATTAAAATTACACCTATCCACACACATCCATCCAACCCCCACCACCCACCTACCTCTACCCCCACCTACATCCTACCATCAATTCTAAGGTATGTGTGTTGTGTGTGAGAGTATGAGTGCGGTGGGTGAGTGTTGGGGCTTATGACCACCAACCACACTGTTACCCATCTCATACACACACCTCATCCCTGTATACCCACTTACACCCCCACCAATAAATACCATAACCCCATCCCTACCCCATCCCTACCCACTCCCATACACCCCTCCACTTACTCCCAAAACCCACCCACCCATACTCCTATCCACCCCCATACACACACCCTAATCTACATACACCCACATATATCCCTACCCACACACACCTCACTTTATCACCACTTACTCATGCATCCCCACCCATACTCCATCTCACCGATAACCAAACCCATACTCCCTCATAACAATACTTAAACACATACCCACCATCTAAATAGCCAAGTCGGATGGTTGATGCCAAATGGCCAAATATTGGTGTAGATTCAAGAATTGCACATGCAATCCCTTAAAACTAGGAACATGAACAATCAATTCTATTAATTAACAGTATACCCATGACACCCCTAACAAAAATCGTATAATTTTGTCTATTTTGTATAATGAATTTCAATGAATATTTTTTTTCTAATTAAATTCATTAAAGTCATTAAAATAAACAATTCATTATTGCCTCCTTAATGTGAAAAAAAATCAAAATTTTTCCCTCCTAACCATAAACATTTAGATCGAGTTTCTAAAAAATTTTGAATCTTCCAAAACCTAATCCGTAAAATTCAAAACCTAAAAATTTATCTCCGGTTCTTGTTTTTTTGAAACCAACCAGCAAAATATAAATAAAGTGGGAGTTGCTTAACTCGAAGAGAGAGAGAGAGAGAGAAACGTCGATTTCTCTTCAATCTGCTCACTTAACATCACAGATGGGGGATGACCTGCCTCAAGCCACCACCGTCGTCACGACAAAGAACCAACAACCCCCTTTTTTGTCTCTTTTCTTAAGTTACAGGGACGACGATGTTGACCTCGATGCTTTTAATATGCTGGAGATGGATAAACGCTGACCACTGAGACGTTGATGCTTGTGAAACCTCAACGATATACGGTTGTCATCATCGGTATCTGATCGTCATCGCCAGAGTGCTGCTAATCCTCACTGTCGCTTATCATGTCATCACCAACGTCGCGGACCACTACTTGTGGCTTGGTAACTCTTTTTCTGAAAATTACTTTTGAGACTCTATTCCCCCTGTTTGTTTTCTCTTGTAGGGTTTGTTGTTTAAGGTTATCTGAAATTATATGCTTACATTTGTTGAATTCACTTATGAAAACCTGAAAATCATATGCAATTTGCAGAAATTTGGCAAATGTTTGCTAAAAGTCTGATTTTTGTTTTGTTGAAAATCATATGTTGCTGCTGTAATAGTGCTTTAATCTGAAATTTTATGTTCATATTTTTTGTAATCATATTTATTTGCTGAAATTCTGATCAAATTATCTGAAGTTGTGAATGTGTGTATTTATATGCTTTAAGTTGTGTGTTGTTACATGTGTGTAAGTGAGTGGTTATGTTTGTATGTGTTTGTATGTCTGGATGTGACTGGTTGATAATTTTCACATTTAGTTATAGAATTTGGTTTCCACCAGAGGAGATCTAATATGGGATTTTAAACCTATGACAGTTTCTAGAGCATAAAGAGGGATAAGTAACACACAAATTTAATGGTGTTTGTTATTTCTTTCTATCGTGCCCAAAATGACCAGATCACTTGGGTATAAAACTGTAAAATGATTCCTGTGGCAAATTACAACTGGACTTTTGAATGTTAAGAGAAAGGGTATGACAATTTTAATAACACAATCTTGGATTCATGACATGTAATTTCTTTTTTCTTGTTCTTACTCTATGTCAAAGTACTGATATATTAGAAACTTCAAAAATCAATTTTACATAATTTGGTTACATATGTTCATTTTATCCTATTTAAAGGGTTGAAAGTATTAGTTGTTTATTTCATAGATGTTAATCACATAGTACGTTCATTTATTTTTGTAATATAACATCTTATTATTGTTCTCTTTCATCACAACATAGTGCATGATTTCTATCTAAGTATGTTTTTTCTTGCATTTAACCTTACATTTTCCTTTGGATATTAACTAATTCCTCTCTTTTATTTGAAGGATGGATAAGTTGGATTCACAATTATCATCATATGCATCTTCATTCAGAAATGGAAATTTGATTTGAGAAACAGAAATTTGAGTTTGAGAGTCGGAAAGTAACAAAGAGCGCCCTATCTTTGTATTTACCCACCACCAAATGAACATTGTATGTAGTGTTAACAATGCTTTTTTCTTTGTATTTGATATAATTTGTAAATTCTTCAATGAAACATGAATTTTAGTTTTTGATATATAAAATGTATTGTGCAGAAAGTAATAATGCATATATTTAACTAACCAATTTTTTAATTATATTGAGATTTTTAATGATTGAAATTAACTTACTAAATTTGCCGCTAAGTTGTTAAAATTTAGTCTTCTTGATATGTTGTACCAAAGGGAAATTTGTTGCTAAAACATGTTAACTAGAACAATTTCATCGCTAAAAGTCGATTTTCTAGTAGTGTATGGAATTGAAATGATTTTATCTATGGGAAATTGTTTTGGTTTGGAATTTCAACTGTAAAAGGAATATAAGAAAACCGAGACAGTTTTACTGCAAAAGGGCAATATGGTCTTTTAATTTCTTTTGGGGTTCTAATGTAAAAATTGGTACATACCCTATTAACGATTTATGCCCCTTCTAGAGGTCTTTTGGTCGACTTAAATGAGCCCTAACCAGATGCAACTTTAACCATTTGTTTTGTAATTGTACCCTTTAAAGTTGAATGTTATTGTTGGTATTCTCTATAGGAAACTAATTTTGTTTGGAGTTTTAGGTGTAAAAGGAATATAAGAAAACTAAAAGGAATATAAGAAAACCGGGATAGTTTTACTGCAAAAGGGCAATATAGTCTTTTACTTTTTATTGTTGTTTTGATGTAGAAATTGGTACAGACCCTATCAACGATTTATGTCCCCTTCTAGAGGGTATTTTGTCAACTTAAAGGAGCCCTTCAGATGCAACTTTAACCATTTGTTTTGTACATGTTGACATCACTCAAACTGTTATATGACTAAAATAAGTCCCAAAAGTCAAACTGATATATGACCAAAACTCATTTGATGTAGGCAATTCCAAA